TGTTCTTTCTTAGATAAAGTGTAAAATACGTCGTAAAAGCATTTTCTCTTGACAACTGTTTAAAAAGCACTCTTTACAGATATATAAGACACAAAACCCTATCCAAAACAAAGCGTCCGTAAGATTTTGGCGTTTACATCGTCGTATCTTGGACCGGAGATTTGTTCCTTTTTTATATAAAGTGTATAAATGTTTTTTTTTTTTTTTGTTTTTTTTTTGGGGGGGGGGCGTCGATGCCTTCCATCTCTATATAAAGTGTAGAGTCAATGTACCCGGTTCCGCACATTACACGGATCCCATACTTTCCATTTTTTTCTTGCAAATTCAAATGAATTTACTCAGTTTTCATTTTTGTTTCACTGAACTTACATGTTTTCAACAGATATGACTTTTGGGATCTTGCACCCCGGCCTCTCCCTGGAGAGTGCAGAGGAAATGTAAATAAATGTACGTGGCTGTGTAGGTCACTCATAAAACATTTTATTCAGCAAGTAAACCATGCTTATTCATATTCAAATGTAATGCTTATTATAAAAGATATATTTGGAAAGAAATATATGTTTTTGTTACGGCAAATTTCCTGTTAGTTATGAAATATCTGCTCATGACTTAACTACCATACTGCCAAACGTCAAGTCATTTCACCTTGATTCTTTGTTTAAAATAATACCAAACTCTTAATCGAACGAATCATAACCAGATAGATGTAAAAAACTTTCAATGATAAATTTTCTGTGTTTACTACCTAAAGGTTGTAGAAGAGTATGTTTCCGTTGCTGTGAAATGTTTTCTGTGTGCTACTATGCTTGGAAATAAATGTTTGTAGACCGTAATAAGAATGTGCATTAAATTTATCTGTAGTCCTAAAACATTTGCAAAAAAATATATCTTATCTGGACTTAAAGATGTCAACTACATGTATTTATAAAACATGTTTAAGATGTCAAATAATCTTTCAGTTTAAAATGACCTTGTGTGCGGAAACGAGTCCACTATTTATTATGTTTGGCCCATTCCTGTTTCTAAAAATCAAGCGCCTAGAAGTATGACCTACTTAAGTTAGAAGCATTATGGTGATCAGTTTTATGGGCAAAGGATGTATTTTTCAAAATATTATCAATTAAAAGAAACATTTTGAACTATAAAATAAATTTTCTTATTTTCCTTTAAAAAGTGTACTACACCGGGTACACTGACTTTATACATTTTCGTAAAAATAACCAATTTATGGAGCCAACTGTTTAAACAACATTTGTTTCATTCCGTTGTAGATTCGTTTTTGCATTAGCTTCGAGGGCCCAAGCAAAGCGTCCGAGAGAAATCCGCGTGGCATGGTAGTTTTTTTGGACCGGCGATTTGTTTTTATTTTTTTGCATATAAATTGTACACATTTTAAAAAGCACAATTTCAAGCAGCCAACCGTTCAAAGACCATTCCTCTGATTCCGTTGCAGGTTTGTTTTTATTTTAGTTTGAAGGGTCTTATTTACAGACACATAAGACTCAAGCAAAACGTCCGGGATATTTCCGCGTGACATGGTCGTTTTTTAAACCGACAATTTGTCCAACACCATATTCATGAGCTTATTGTTAAAACTCCATTTGTCTGATACCGTTGCGGATTCACTTTTGTAGGTTCTTTATAGAAATACCAGACAAAAAAGCACTAGCCCATTCAAAACGTTTAGGAGAATTCCGCGTAACATGGCCATTTTTTTCTTACTGGCAATTTGTTCTTCCTGCATATAAAGAGTATAAATAATCGTTAAAAAAACATTTTCAGGAGCAATTCGTTAAAAACACAATCTGTGTTTTGTGTTATTTTGTGTTAGTTTGGGCCTTCTTTATAGAAATATAAGAGACGAAGCCCTAGGCCAAGCAAAATATTTGGGAGATGTTCGCGTGGCATGTTATTACTTTGGTTTTCCGTTTAGAAGTATTGAAAATGTCACCGTGAGTTTCGTCAGCTAGACAGTATTCCCCGAGGAAAGGACCGGACTAGGATTTCCGTTAAGAACCTTAAAAACTTCTATCACTGTAGGTTTGGTCAGCTTGACTGCTTACCCTGAGGATTGATCCGGACTTGGTTTTCCGTTTAGAACTACTAGAAAGGCCTATCACCCTGGGATTGGTAAGCTTGTCTGTATTCCCTGAGGTTTAAACCGGACTTGGTTTTCCGTTTAGAACTACCAAAAAGGCCTGTCACTGCCGGTTTGGTCAACTTGAGTCTATTCCCTACTTCTTGGACCGGATTTGATCTTCCATTTATAACGACTAAAATGACGATCACCATGGATTTGGTCTCCTTTGACTTTATTGCCTGTGGATAGAACCGGACTTGGTTTTCACCTTGACTGTATTCCCTGAGGCTAGAGTAGGGCTTGATTTTCCGTGTAGAACTACTAAAAAGTCCTATTTCCATGGGTTTTGTCAGCTAGACTGTATTCCCTGAGGCTAAAACCGGACTTGATTTTCTGTTTAGAACTACTTAAAAGGTCTATCACCGTGGGTTTGATAAGATACGCTGTATTACCTGACTTGGATTTCAGTTAAGAACTAGTAACAATTGTTCTATATTTAACTACATAAAAGGCCTATCACCGTGGGTTTGGTCAACTTGGTATCATTAGACTGTATTACCTGAGGCTAGAAGCGGACTTGTTTTTCCGTTATGAAGTACTAAATACGCCCATCACCGTGGGTTTGGTCAGCTTGACTGTAATCCGTGATACTTGAACCGGACTTGGTTTGCCGGAAATGAAAACTATTAGAAAGGCCTATCACCGTGGGTTTGGTCAGCTTGACTGTATTCTGTAAGGCTAACACCAGGCATGGTTTTCCGTTAAGAACTACTGAAAAAGCATATCACTTTGGGTTTCTTCAGCTTGACTGATAACCATAAGGCTAGGACCGCACTTGGTTTCCAGCTTAGAACTTCTAAAACGGCCCATCACCGTTGGTTTTCACATCGACTGTATTCCCTGATGCTAGAACAGAACATGGCTTGATTTCCCATATAAAACTACTAAAAGGCATATAACCATGGGTTTGGTCAGTTTGCCTGTATTTCCTAAATGTAGAACCGAACTTGGTTTGCAGTAAATCAAATTGAGAAAGGCCTATCAGCATGGGCTTTTGTCAGCTTGACTGTATTTCCTGAGGCAAGAACTGGACTTAGTATTCCGTTAACAACTACTAAAAAGACCTATCACCGTTGGTTTTGTCATCTCAACTGTATTCCCTGAGGCTAGAACCGGACTAGATTTTTCCGTTTAGAACTACCAAAAAGGTCAATTACCGAGGGTTAAGTCAGGTTGACTGTATTCCCTGCGGCTAGAGCCGGACTTGGTTTTCCGTTAAGCACTACTAAAAAAAGCCTTTGAACGTTGGTTAGGTCAGCTTGACTTGTATTCCCTAAGTCTAGAACCGGATTTGGTTTTCCGTTTTCACTACTAAAAGGCCTATGACCGTGGCTTTGGTCGGCTTGACTGTATTCCCTAACGCTTAAACTGTCATTGTTTTCCGTTAAGAACTACTGAAAAAAGGCTTCTAGTGTTACCGTGGGTTTGGTCAGCTTGACTGTATTCCCCTCGACAAGAGCCGAACTTAGTATTCCGTTTAGCACTACTAAAAAGGTCTATCACCGTGGGTTTAGTGAGTTTGACTGTATTCCATGAGGCTGGAACCTGTCCTTGTTCTAGGTTACAAACTATTTAAAAGTCCTATCACCGTGGGTTGGTCAGCTTGACTGTATTTCATGAGGCTATAACCAGACTTGGTTTACTGTTTACAACTACTAAAAAGACCTATCACCGTTAGTTTGGTCAGGTCGACTGTATTCCCTGAGGCTAGAACCGGACTTGATTTTTCCGTTTAGAACTACTAAAAGGCCTATCACCGTAGGTTTGTTCAGGTTGACTGTATTCCCTGCGGCTAGAACCGGAACTATAAAAATGGCCTATCACCATGGCTTTGGTCTCCCTGATTTTAGATTAGGAGTTGGTTTTCCGTTTAGAACTATAAAAAGGCCTATCACCGTGGGTTTGTCAGTTTGACTGTATTCCATAAACCTACGACCGCGCTTGATTTGTTTCGATGGGAACTTCTAAAAAGGCCTCTCACCGTTGGTTGGTCAGCTTAACTGTATTTCTTGAGGCTAAAACCAGACTTGGTTTACCGTTTACTACTACAAACTACAAATTAGGCCTATCATCGTTGGTTTGGTCAGCTAGACTGTATTCCCTGAGCATAGAACCGGACTTGTTTTTTGTTTAGAACTACTAAAAAGGCCTATTACTTTGGGTTTGGTCAGCTTGACTGTATTCAAGGAGGCTAGAACCAGACTTGGTTTTTCGTTTAGAACTACTAAAAAAGCCTATTACCTCGGGTTTGGTAAGCTTGATTGTATTCCCGGAGGCTAGAATCGGACTTGGTTTTCCGTTTATAAGTACTAAAAAGGCCTATCACAGTGGGTTTAATGGACTTGACTGTATTGGAACGCTATTTCTCCTTTCCGTGTATAAAGTTTATAAATTTTCGTAGAAAGCATTTTTTGTCAGACGCAAAACGTTTAAACACCATATTTCTGATTCCGTTGCGGATACAATTTTGTTTTAGTTTGGGAGGCCTTATTTACAGTAATATAAGATAGAAAACCCTAGCCTAAGCAAAACGCCCCGGAGATTTTCGCGTAGTATGTTTTTTGGACCGGCAATTTGTACTTTCTGTATATAAAGTGAATAAATTTGCGTTAAATAAAACACTATTTTCTCAATCCTACCGATGAATCACGTTTTATCTGATTCCGTTGCGGTATCTTTCTTTGTATAAGTTTGGAGGGTCTTCATCACAGAGATATAAGTTACAAAAGCCTAGCCGGGAGATTTCAGCGTGGCATGATCGTGGTTTGTTCTGAAGAATTCGAAACAACATCTTTGAGTATAAACCCTTCTGAAACTGAGACGTACATGTAATATGATAAAGATAAATATCACAATTAAAAATAATTTATGTATCTTTATTTCACACAAAAGTATTGAATATGATATTCTTGTACATGTTATCATGTTTGTGTTAAATTTTTACACTAGTCATGAATTAAACATTGCTATCAACTAAAAGTAAGGATTCAAATACAAAAAAAAATACACAAGTAAGCACTAATTTTAATACCCCCTCCCAAATCAGACTTTAAAAGTAAGTTTAAGAACGTCCATGCTATAAATCCTCGCTAATCTGGAAATTTTGTCCGGTCCCGACCATGTCCGGTTTTGTGTGATTTTACTGTATTTTAATTTACGCTAATGAAAAAAACAACAACAAACATATGGTTATAATCTCTTTAATGACAATCTAATCATTCTGAATAAATTTTAATGTATCACAGACAGTTAGAGGTAGAAAAAATATTTATTGCGCATGCTGTTAAGCTTTAAACAATCAAATTGAAAGACATTGAGGTATGATCATTGAGACAAACAAATACCCTACACTAAGGAGCCATATCTTATAATTTGTAACGATTACGCTTAAGTACTATTTTACTTAGCACTGTCATTATTGTATACCAGGTTCCAATATTTATATAACTGTCATGACTAGGGTTATCTTTGAACTGCACATTTGTTTCTACATGTGTGTCTGAAATCAAAGTTTTAGTATCATTCTTGTTTTCTTGTGAATATGAACCTACATTTTCATCTTCAATATCGCACGTATAGTCTGATGCTGTGAAATTACATGCAGCGTTTGCACAAACTTTATTTTTCATTTCATTGGTATTTGGGTTTGAAACTTCAATTTGAGAATTTACTTCTCCCTCTTCGTTATTTTCAGGAGGTAGTTCATTTTGAATGGCTTCTGACATGTTATCGGTATCTTGTTCATTTGTTTCATCATTAATCTCATCTGCATTAGTTTTGCCTCTATGTATAAGAAGGCAATCTCCATCTACATTCACAAGTTGAATATCAAAATCATTACTCTCATAATCATCTTCAGCATTATCATCACTAACAGTATCCCCAGTTCCCTGACAATCAGTTACTCCCTTAATTGTCTCAGTGTTTAAGTCTTTAATCATTTCTTCATTATCTTCTATATGTTGCGCTTTAATTAATTCTATTTTTGGAATATTGGCATCGTTCAAAGAGGTTTTGTTTACTATCTCATCAGTAGAATGTCCATCGTTGTCAGATATTTTCAAGTCAGCTATAGAAATGACATCATTTATTATTTTAGGACCCTCTGGATAATCAATCGTTGTTCGTGGCACGTCCACGCCGTTCTGGACCTCTGCTCTGGCTGAAGCTACTGTATCCTCAATCAAAATACCATCTATCACTATAAAATCTTTGTCAAATGTCATATCGTCAAA